TTATTTTTTAATTGATCCCTATCCCGTGGCGTGTGGCCTCATGCAACTTATCCCCGAGTGGAACACCATCACGATGAGCCTCCTTGATTGCCCACTTACGTAGTTCAAACTCATACTGAAGCAAAACATTCCACGGGACAGCGAGGGTGTGCCGCTCCGCCTGTGCCGCCGAGCTCGTAGGAGCCGCTCCGGCCACTTGCATATTGTAACACTTGTCACCGCGAAGAAACTCCAGGTAACGATCAAAGTGCGACAAACGAAGGTCCTGAAGATTAGCACGCCCCCTGCACTTGGCCGAGAGCATGACCCAAGCCGAAGCCTCCAGCCGCAGCTTTGCCCGCAGCTCCTCCGTGTCGCCCCTTTGGTTTCTGGCGCATGACTCGAAGCCGGCCCTGATTATCCAAAGAAGTCTGAAGCTGAAGTGAGTTGGATTCCTTACGCGAAATGACCTCATCCAGGTAACTCGCAGTCGGTTCCCCATTCTCAATCTGCTCAAGCTTGTGTGCCAGGTACTCAGGTGCCGGCTCCTCTGACTCACGAACGCTGTAGCCTCGAACGGTCTCCAGCGCAGCTCGCATAGCCGCCCGATCGGATGACGCCAAGGGTTTTTGAACCCCCAGGACCTTAGCCTCAGCACGGAGCTTGGCCTCTTCCTCACGAATGAGCTTTGAAGCCTCCCAAGCAGTAATGATGCAGGCTACGCGAGCTCAGTCCGCGGCAAAGTGCGAATGCTCTTGTAATGCTGACCAATGGCATACTGCAATGCAAGATCGACCCCATGTTCCTCCAAAAGAAAGAGGAAGTCCGCATCAACATGTTCCTTCAGATAGATACGCAGCAAAGTGAAGTCTGAAATCAGAGCAGGCTGAAAGCAGAGCTGACATGAAAACTGAAAGTCAAGCCTAAATTGACTGAATCCCCGTGAGGGGAGGCTGAAAGTCGCTGATTTTCATCAAATCTGACATGTCTGACAGTCTGAGCACAACATCTGCCCAGGGATCAATACTGATTTCAAACAAGCGTTGCTAAAAGCATCCATCCGAACGCCAGATAGCACTTCTGACTCGCGATCAAAAATATGATCTGAAACCTACACATGTACTCATCCCATCAGAGGGAGTCGCCGATCTCCGTCGATCACGATTCACCGGAGCTGGAAGAACCCGGATCCTTGTCCCGGTAACACAACTTGAAGCAGCTACCGACGAGTCCACGTCCCAAACCTCAGCGAATCGATGACAACTGCCGAGTGTTACCCAACAGCCGGGGCAGTGTCATCCGAACCGTCCTTGAAGTCGCCCATCAGGCCAAGTCTGATTCAGTACCTTGCAGCCATTTACCGTGCGCATGACCAATGTAGCCGTAACCAAGGTTCCAGATCCAGGCCTCCATCCAGCCAAGCAGCCTCCTCTTCGTCGTACCTGGACTTGCCACCCGAAAGCTTGTCACATACACGTTGTTGAATGTGATGCACAATCTGACGGCACGTGTGAATACAGTCTGAGCTCTGATGCAACCCGATATGCCAGCGACCTAAGTCTCTCTGCTCCTTCGGATGGATGGAAGAACATGCCTCGTGCTATGACCCGTCCAAAAACAAGTAACCACGCGGGATCGCCATGTCCGCGATACGTCTGAAAGAGACTCTCTCCAAACTCGACGCATAGCAGTTGCTTATTGCTGCTAAATGACCTCGCAAACCTTTAGCGAGGTTCCGCAAATCCTTGGTGGACTGGAAACCAAGAAAGTTCGATCCAACCTGTTCCAGACCAGGTCGAAGCGCTCTGATAAGCCAATATTCCTCCCAGAAAGAATGGAGTAGTCTTATTTTTTTGCCAAGAAACTCTGAAAACTCACGGAAAAGCCTAAATCTTGAAAACGTCGATCCTTGCAGTTCTTGAAGGACATCGTCACGGCAACCGCTNNCTCTCCATTTCGATGACGAGGCTCCGTCTTGGCAGGTTGTCTAAGACCTCCTGAGATTAGGCACGCATACATGCGAACGCAAACACATGAGACACTGCGCATACAAGGGAGAGATGGCCATCCGTGACCACAATTTCTCAAGAGCAACAAAAATTGCAACCAAAAACCGCGCTGCCGGCCACAACTGCTGATTAGGTTCACTGCTGTTTTGCTTAACCTGGCAGGAAACAGAAGCTCCTTGAGCCTTCTTCGAAGACTCTTGAAGAAGAGTTAAGAGGAAGCTTAGGCTCTTCCCTCGAGGTTGGAACATGGGAACTCATTGCTCTCAAGTGGAAAGAATCGACACCGTTGATT